TTTGTTAAGTGACTTCCCAGTCAATGTACATGCATACTTATAGTACTTAAAATATTACTTAAATATTATTATTATTATAAATACGACTTAACTATTCCAAATATTAGGTATGCGACACTTCTTGTGACTTGCCAGTCAATGTACATGCATGCTTATCTTACTAACTTACAAATATTTAATAAAACAAAAACAGCAACATAATTATAATATTATCAGAGTACAACCTGACATAATTATTACAACTATTATTATGGTAAATCAATTCGATTGATTGCATTCTATAATTTTAGGTATATTATAATAGGTACTTATTTTATAGGTGTTTGTTATAATAAAAGCGTACAGAGATAAACATCAATATGCTATGGTTAGAAAGGATGACATTACCATAATAAAACTCGTAATAATGTTACAAAAACATAAAATGAACTTAAGTTATCAAATTAAAATAATGTAAAATCTATATTTTAAATATTCAAACAAAAACAATATGAACTCATGAATATAAAGCTTTTAGTGCCTACTTTTTAGAGCATCAATGTTTGCCTTATTTCTTAATTGAACTTTAACACTGGACTTTACTTTTTATAACTACCTACCTACTTAATTAATATAGGCTTAATTATAACTCTTAAAACTAATGCTTGTCCTTTTTCTTGAGATTGTGACTTGCCAGTCAATGTACATGCATGTCCTTAGCATAACTTACTAATATTATCTTATAACTACAGTGTATTTCTGTTTGAACTTCCGATAATTTAACGTACCTATTCTACGTTATATTTCAGCGACAAAAAGTACGAGTATACAAAGAGCGGTCGTACTCCTCGCTCGCCCTTCTGAATGGGAGCCATTGTATTTTTTATTTTTTCATATTTTTAAGAACTTATGGAAACTCCATTTTATCATTTTATGTTGTCCTCATACACGAAAGCGAAATTATTTCAAAGAAATGTTACGGACGATATTATGCTGACCGCCCGGTTTTTAGGTAGAGCACACTAACTAAAAACTCAATTATTTTTCTAAGTTTTTCGTCTAAATCGAAGATATTTGCTTATGTTTTGAAAATAAATGCATGCATTATTATTATTAAAAGGGGTAGGATCTTTTACACTTTAGGTCGATGTAATTTAACAAAGAATACGTGTCTAAAGTATAAGAAGTTCACATAGAAACATACCGCATAGTAGGTACAGTAACAAAATCAATATTATGTTTACAACAGAAACGGAACAACAGAAAAACTTTAACCCATAATTCTAAACCAAGAGCTAATAAAATAATAATTCATATTTCTTTAACATTAATAAAAAAACTGAAAAGAATGTCCTTACACCATACATAAACCGATTAATATAAAAGCTCACTCGTGATATAATTAGTGTAATAACAAATTACTAATAATCTTATTAAAAAAACCTTGAATGGGTTAAAAAAAACTGTTTCAAATTGTAAATACAATAACACTTACTGCTTTAGTTATTATACCTACTTAAATATTATTAATTGTCTACACAAAGTTATATTAATTTGCCATCCTCATGTTATTTGCTTGTGACTTGCCAGTCAATGTACGTACATGCATACTTACGTCTAATCAATAGGCTCATCTAAATATTTATTATTATTATTATGTAGCAACTGAAAATCTTAATTTACTAATCAGAAAAAAATACCAAATTATTTCAGCCGACATTAAATCTTATGAAAGTCTAATAAATGAGTTAAATTAGTATTAAAAAAATCATTAAGTACCTACCTACTTCAAAAAAAAATGTACTCACTCAAACACAATTTGTAATCAAATAAAATATTATACATTGATGAAATAATAGAAATAGTGTTTGAAATTAGTTATTAATAAGAATGTAAAAAATAAATAATAATGAATGTAAGGGGGCGTCCATAAATTACGTGAGGCTTTTAGGGGGGGGGAGGGGGTCAACAAAAACCTCACCAAATCTCACGTGGGGGAGAGGGGGGGTCTCGGGAAATATCACGTATTTTTTTCCATAACAAATAGAGACATAGAGTTTGCCAGAAAAATTGGCCAAGTGCGTGTCGTGCCACGCGCAGTGTAGGGTTCCGTAGTTGTCCGTCGTTATCACAATATATTTCAGAAGTAAGCAATTACTTCATCTAAAGTCACTTTTAATATTTTCTTCTGAGGATTTTTTATTAGGTACTAGCTGACCCGGCGAACTTCGTACCGCCTTAGCGTAGAGATTTTCTTAATATTTTTTTCCGTAAGAACCATCCTTGGACTTCCACAAACATTTAAAAAAAAGAATTATCGAAATCGGTTCAGCCGTTCACACGTGATGCCGTGACAACGCGAAACGGGTTTCATTTTTATATATATAGATGACATTTTATAATACACTAGCTTTCCGCCCGCGGCTTCGCCCGCGTGGAATTTTGTCTGTCACAGAAAAACTTTATCGCGCGCGTCCCTGTTTCAAAAACCGGGATAAAAACTATCCTATGTTCTTTCCCGGGACTCAAACTATCTCTATGCCAAATTTCATCAAAATCGGTTGCGAGGTTTAAGCGGGAAAGCGTAACAGACAGACAGACAGACAGACAGACAGAGTTACTTTCGCATTTATAATATTAGTTGGGATTAGTAAAACGACTATTACTCTTGAACTACCTGATCTATCTTAAGCGCTATAGTTTTCCTTGATACAGTCTAAACAAATAAAACTAAAAATGCTTCCGTCTGCAATTCTGCATGTGTGAATACTAAAATGCAGAGTAAATGACGAAATTAAGAAAATTATAAAACAAGTTCTTTTTTTATCAAAATCGATTTTGCTAGATTATTAGTGATTTTGTAGAAAGGAACAATTAGACTAGGTACTTCTGTAAAAAAAAACAATGTGACCCTAGTACTAACACTACACGTGTTTTTCTGGATCTATTCGTAATCACCTGCACCTGTAACGCCCCTGGGTCTGCGGGTGTCTATGGGCGACGGTAATCATTTACCATCAGGTGATCCGTCTGCTCGTTTGCCTCCTATCACATAAAAAAAAAAGAAAATCAGTGGGCTTAGTGCGACTTTACACAATCGTCATCCGCTAGCGACTGCGTAAAAAATGACATACATTAAATGTATGATGATTGTACCTACAGCGTCCCTAGCAAATACTTTCAAGAATTAAAATCTTTAACTTTATAGATCTTTTTGATGCACTCGTTAGCGACAACGTTAAAGCACACAAAAAAATGTTTCTCAGTTATATTACTCCAAAAATAAGTATTAAATTTCGGATTTTTTTTAATATCACGTGAGATTTGGGGGTGGGGGAGGGGGTCAGGCAAAATCTCACCAAATCTCACCAAGGGGGGCGGGGGGGTTGAAAAATAGCCAAAATTGTCTCACGTAATTTATGGACGCCCCCTAAGTAAATGTTAAAAAATAATAATTTCAGCGATACACTTAACGATATTATTATATCTATTTTTTTCTACTTGTGTATGAGATTCCACCGTTTCTTGTCGGTATATTATTTTAATTATCATCTAATATTATTTCTATTTTTTCTACTTTATTGTTCCAATCGCCAAATCTTTAGAAAATTATAAATTACTGTAATTACTTAAATTACATACCTACTTATGTCTTAGTTATGTACAATTAAACAAGTATATAGTGGAACAGCGGGACTGTGTTAATTATCCTCATTTTGAGCTCTGACTTGCCAGTCAATGTACATGCATTTCATTAGCCTAAAATTAATAGGTCATACCTATGAAAATTCCGTTTCATATGAAAATTAACTGAAACTCATTTTCACTATTTTTAAGGAAAGAATATATTTTTTTCTTACTGAAATGGGGATGAAATGTTTTTGATGATTTTCAGTTAAAAAATCAAAACAATATAATTCCCGAACTCTTTAAAAGAAAAACAAAACTATAGAATTTATTAGAACTAAAAACTTGTAGATATTGAAAAAAAAAAACAGTTATTTCACAGATAAGACCTATTATTAATATTAATAGTCATAATATCTACCTAAGTCCTTACCTAATCATTAGCTTCTAATGAAAGTCCTACACCTTTTTTTGAAATATTTTGTAAATCTATATGATTTTGACTTTTCGCGCGGAAACACTAGCCGCCATGTTGATTCGGCTTGTGACGTCACTCTGTTAGTTTCTATAACTTTGTTTATTTATTTTTATATGGCGCTGCTAATTTTACTGTTTGAAGGAGCTGGCGTTATTCTGTTGCAAATAAGGTTAATTATTTTAGACTTAACATAGTAGCTAGGCTATCTTATTCTAATCTCAAAAAAATATATTCTCATTTATAGATCGTAACCTACATTATAGCTAGGCTATCTTATTCTAATTTCAGAAAAATATACTCTCTTTAAGATCAAAATACGTGACCTACTAGGTGCCTCCTTATTGTTACCTACTTAAATCTAGGAGCCAGGGTTGACTGAAATTTATATTTACAGTATTTCATATCCAAACCCCGACCTCGTTCTAGAAAGTGTTCGCTTGAATTTGCAACTTTACGCATCGTAACTTTTTGTTTTATATTTACAAATTCCTTAACAACCGCATTTTCAATCGCAATTTGTTTTACAGTTTTATGTCTTTAACTTGATCCAATATTTAAAAAAAAAATAGAAACTTATCTTTATTAAATAGTTCCGATTAACTATTACACCAATTCCTCTCCCCAAACTAAGTATGGCTTGAATTAAAGCAATAAAATAACAGATAAAAATACTTTAATATGAATAATACGTATATAAATACTAATATTTGCTCCTAGCTGGATTTGAGCCCGCAACCGTGGATGGTGGTGTACGGGGAGGAATTATATTTAAAGTCAAAACTAAAAAATACTGAACTCGACTTTATAAATTAATATTTTTAAAGAAAGGAAAGGCACGAAAAATATAAATACCTGCGTAATAATAAACTATTTTGATGATAGAAATAATAGAAACATAAAATAAAATAAAAAGAAATAAAATAAAAAACTTTATTCAATTAAAATTTACAATATACAAATAACGATTGAAATTCCGGTACCTTACAAAATATACTTAAAACGTAACTAGCATTAAATTCTAAATTGAGGTGGATTTTCTTATGGTTGTAATTAGTATTATGAAATATCAGGTTACATTATATTTCATAAGTGAATAAAATCATTATTAAAATATAATATAACCTTATACAGTCTTACAGGGTATAAATTGATACTTTTCAGTTCAATTTACCCCATTCGCCCCATCCAGTCCAAATCTACCGCCTAATGGCAACTACCAAAATTATCTTTTCACACAATAATATCATAAGACAAAATAAACATTAAGAAATACAACGCGAAAATATTATAATTATTAAAACACCAAACACAAAATAAAAGCTATTCGAAATATACGAGAGAAGACCTATGTTAAGCTTGACGTAATATAAATAAATTATATAAAACCATAAAACATTTTTTGAAAATTAAATATCAACATGTCAAATCTTTTGCAAATAAAACTTAACGATTGAAAAATGAATTAAAAACGTTAGTATAATAAGGCGGATTGCCGACAAAAATAATATGCAATGACGATAAAAACTTACATCTGGAAGTATAATGTTTTACATTATTTAAATCATTCTAAATATCTAAAACTTAAAACCTAAAAAGCAGTTTAACTGTAACGACTATTAGCCACGTAAAATAAATGAAATTATTTTTTTAAAAACCGAACTAAAACTAATAATTGAACGCAGGAAGTGCAACTCATACAAATAAGAACTAAAATAAAAACTAATTTAAGGTATTTAATACCAATTATTGTAAGTTTTCTCTATTGCAAATTAGGTCGATACCTCGATAAAACAAACTATTTTTCAGTTAAAAAAGGAAAATATAATTTTAAGCATTATTGAGTCGCATAGTGAAATGTTTTATTTTTGGGCCTGAACGTATATTCGGAAACAGTATTATTTCAGAAAATATTCAAATATACAAGTACTTATTTCGCACCGATACGTTGGCTTAAGACCTACATCAAAATTTTTTAAATTCGTAACCTTAGTGGGTCGCTCTTGCCAGGTCTTCGCAATTATAATTACATATACTTATTTCAAGTTATAATAATAAAAAAATAAGAAAAAACTTAACTGACGATTTATTCGCGACTTATTTGGAAAAAAGTCTATATAAATAAAAGGAAAGGTCAGTGACTCACTCATCACGAAATCTCAGAAACTACAAGTGCTAGGAGTCTCAAATTTTGCATGGGGAGGAACCCCAAGATTAGAACGTAGGTGCTCATTAAGACGGGATTTTGCAAAATTAAAAAAGGGGGTAAAATGGGAAAAGGCGTTCACGCATACGAAGTCGCGGGCGGCCGCTAGTTACATACCAATAAAGCATAAACTCATATTTTATTCCAGAAGCTAAAGTGAATCTTCACAAAAACTATATTTTGTTTTCTGAATAAATTGAAGAATAAATTCACATAAATAAATCACGATGAAATCGTCACAATACCGCCATAATAACTGTCGATTGATTTATTTTTATCTATTTAGTTATTTTTTTCGATGAAGTGTAAAGATTTTTTTGAGATAATTGACTGCTCAAATGTTATTGTAAAATATTACATACCTATTTGGATTTACTTGGGTTTGTAGATATATTAAGAATCAGATCAATAGTTATATAGGCTTATTAATTAAATAACATTAAGGCGAATCTATATTAAAAGAAGCTAATTTTTATCACTCCGTTGACGAGTCCATCTTGGATGACTTCGATATAATAAAAAGTTAATTTAAGCTTAGCTTTAAAAGATATAACTAATTATACCAAGTGTTAGCCTAATTTATAAATACTCATTATAATAAATAGTGCTGTAGTGTTATTATTAATAATTATTATTGAACAAAAAGTTAAGAAAACTAATTTGAAAGTATCATTCCGAATTCTTCTTTTATATTTAGTTTTTATTTAATACATTAAATTGGAGTACGCTGCGAAGTATTTCTTATATGATAGTGGATTTTTAGTGAATTGTATAAATTGTTTGCAAATATTATACAAAGATGCGTAAAAAAATATTATATCAACAAGCTTTGCCAAAAACGGCTAGTTATTTATCCAAAAATATGAATTAAAAATTATAAACAACATAAAAGTTTAGAATCGCACGCAATAGAAAAATATTTTAGATGTTATTTTAATGTAAACTCAATTCCGTTAGGAAAACTTTAACTTTTATAGAAATTACACATTTGGGTATTTGCCACTACCAATCAATTGAAGTACTTTTTAAAACTGTCAAAACCAGACTCCACTACACTTTGATCTTAGCCAAAAGGCCGAGAATCCCATAGATTTTGTATGGCAATACTAGCCAGTGACGTCACTACCTATTTTGTCAACTCAATTAAACTACTTTTTCCAATTACAATGCAACCAAAAATCTTAATTTACAGGTAATTTAAAATTAATTAACTTTTTAAGAAAAGCATTAAGTGCCTTTTTAATTAAAAAAATTGTGCTTTAGAATTATTTGGGAGTGGTAGCAAATACCCAATTATATGTTAAATATATTATTATCTCATACATATTCAATTTCTGGTACTTGTTACTTCAATGTTAGGCAATATTTACACATTAAAATGCCTATCTAAACTTAGCCTAAAAAAAGTTACGATTACTTAATATTACGATTATACCTTTTAACATTAACATCGATAATATCCGAGTAATTTAAACACCAATAGAGAAAAGTTACTACTTACGTGTGTATTTTATATTAAAGTTATGTATACGCGTACAATATCAAGAAGTGATAAAAGTTATAAAAATAACAATTCAATAGTAGAATTTTTAGAAAAAATAATTGTTAGGATGATATTTTGACTGGACATACAAAAGGTATATTTTTTGAGGGTAGAAGAGTGTGGTCAAGGGTTGTACTGCAGGGGAGGATGGGGGAGAGGGGTGAGGGGTAATTAGAAAGGCTTGACCTCCTCCTGCTTGATCACTCCCATCTCTTGCAGCATGGCGTCCATGCCCTCTGGGATGCGGCCCTGGTCTAACTCCAGGTTCCATTTGTAAAACTGGAATGAGATAATAAAAAAAACTTACTTTTGTTGCAATTTTTTAACAGGCACAGGTTAACAGACGGCAGCTGATTAAGGGTGTATTCGACCAAACAAGAGTAAATTATATTGATCTCAGAATAAATCGTCAGTTTTGACATATTTCCCATACTGAAACTGTCAATGTGCCAGTTACACCAGGAGTTATTCTCGGATAAAAGTTTGGTCGAATCGGGCCTAAGAAATATAATATACAAGTGATGTTACACTGTGTTACCGACGACCTGATAAAGGTAGCAGGAAGGCGCTGGATGCAGGCCGCTTACCAACCTATGTTCAGCAGGGGACGTCCTGTGTCTGAAATGATGATGATGATGTTACAGTGTGTCCTACAAGAGAACCGAATCCACTACCTTGTCAAGCTCCTTCCTGAGAGTCAGCACGGCACGCTCGCGGTCAGCCACCAGCTCCTCGAGGTACTGGTAGCGGAGTTTCTTACGGGCGCGGCACTCACGCGCCGACTGACGGCTGCGTTCTGGAATGATCGTGTAAGTTTGACAATCCATCTTCAAGTTTAGCTGTAGTACAACACGGCTTATTTTCGTAAGACCCGAGCTATGTCTAACCACTCTAACCAGAGTCGTATTTGTACCCGCGATAATGGTCTACTCATGCTCGTAGTCCAAAGGACAATGGCGACTTATGTAGGGATCGAACCCACTAAAACCCTAGGGGTGTTCCCACTACCGCTGAGTGGTCTTGGGTATCGCGGCACTCACGCGCCGACTGACGGCTGCGTTCTGGAATGATCGTGTAAGTTTGACAATCGATCTTGCACCTTAAGCCAAGGCGCAGACCACCGACTTTAAGAGTAGGCGCAAACCGTTGATTTTTCGTCGGCCGATAGTTTAGTCGGGCAGTTGATCAGTATGGGCATGTATGGGCATGTATGGGAGTGCGCACACTACGCCGATTCGATTTGGCCGATTCTTCATACAATTTGAAATTGGGCACAACTATCGGCCAACTAAAAATCAACGGTGTGCGCCTAATCTAAGTTGCCCGATTTTTATTTAAATGAAGAATCGGCCGATACCAAATCGGTGTAATGTGCGCTCTTTCATACATCACCATACTGATCATACTGATCAAGTGCCTGATCCAACTATCGGCCAACAAAAAATCGGTGGTCTGCGCCTAGTCTAACAGCTATGTCTAAAGCATATCTGGGCAAAATGGTTTAACCATGCCCGCTCCTAAGTTAGTAGGGCAAGCAAGTCATTAAAATCCTGAAGTGTTACACCGCTATTCATCATGCCAACTATTCTAATCTACCTGAACTAGACTTTTAGAAATTTCAAATGTAAGGTCAAGTGTGGAAGCCAAGATCCAGAATCATATAACTTATAACTTGGCTAACTACACGGGCGATGGGGCAGCAAGGTTCTGAAGTGTCCAAAATGCGGACAAACGACCTCTTAAAGGTCTGCCTGCTGTTGCCTTTCCTGAACACTATAATCCGGGCCTTTTTCCAGGCGAGAGTGAAAAGGCACCATCCTAGACTGCAGAGCAGAAGTACCATCCTAGACTGCATCTCACTTAACACCAGGTGCTATTGCAGTCAAATACCCGATTTGTCTTGCATACAAAAAAGGGATGGAGCTGGGTGCAGTACGCTACCAACCAGTTACTTTGGAAATCATTGGGAGGAGGCCTATGTTCTGCAGTGGATGTCCTGTGGCTGAAGTGAAGATGATGATGCTGAATCACGTACCCAGCTTTGCCTTCATAATAATATCTTGCTTGTCCAGCTGGGCCTTACTCACGCCTTTCCTCACCCTCCCCCAACACGATCAATAAGTGCGGAATATTAAGCCATGATCCAGGATCATCATATACAACCCGATCCAGCTAACTGTGCGCTCGCGCGTAATTATATTGCTGTCGCGACTGTGCGACGGGCGCCCGCAGTGAGTGTGCGAGCGCGACAGCAACATAATTATGCGCGAGCGATAAGGATGGGTAGCTTGGGGTCATTGGACAAAATTCTACGTGCTCGCAGTCCAGACTATAGAAATAAATGTAAATGAAAGAGATCAAGAATTACGTACCTAGCTTCGCCTTCATATCTTGCTTGTCCAGCTGGGCCTTCCTGCCGGGCCTGCGCCCGCGCTTACCCCCCTCGCGCCGCTCCCCATCCTCCCCCAACACGATCAATAAGTGCGGGAGTATTAAGCCATGATCCAGGATAGGGTTGCCAGGCGTCCGGATATAGCCGGACATAGTTGGGCTTTTTGATTGCGTGTCAGGCCAAAATAACCGGTGCCCAGGTTTTGTTAGGCTTTTTGATTGCGTGTCCGGTTTGTCCGGCTTTTGTTAGGCTTTATATTTGGCTGCCGCGCCAGGCGAAAGTCGAGCCACAGGAAATATGAAGCGCACGCGCACGCATCACGTTGGGCAACCGATGATGATAGTACTCATTGCACTCGTTGCACCTCCCCCCCCCATGTCCAGCCAAATGAAGCACAGAGTCCGGCCAGGATGATACTATGAGTTATGACTAACTTATTACGCTAATCACGTACCCAGCTTCGCCTTCATATCTTGCTTGTCCAGCTGGGCCTTCCTGCCGGGCCTGCGCCCGCGCTTGCCCCCCTCGCGCCGCTCCCCACCCTCCCCCAACACGATCAATAAGTGCGGGAGTATTAAGCCATGATCCAGGATAGGGTTTTTGATTGCGTGTCAGGCCAAAATAACCGGTGCCCGGGTTTTGTTAGGCTTTTTGATTGCGTGTCCGGCTTGTCCGGCTTTTGTTAGGCTTTATATTTGGCTGCCGCGCCAGGCGAAAGTCGAGCCACAGGAAATATGAAGCGCACGCGCACGCATCACGTTGGGCAACCGATGATGATAGTACTCATTGCACTCGTTGCACCTCCCCCCCCCATGTCCAGCCAAATGAAGCACAGAGTCCGGCCAGGATGATACTATGAGTTATGACTAACTTATTACGCTAATCACGTACCCAGCTTCGCCTTCATATCTTGCTTGTCCAGCTGGGCCTTCCTGCCGGGCCTGCGCCCGCGCTTGCCCCCCTCGCGCCGCTCCCCACCCTCCCCCAACACGATCAATAAGTGCGGGAGTATTAAGCCATGATCCAGGATAGGGTTTTTGATTGCGTGTCAGGCCAAAATAACCGGTGCCCGGGTTTTGTTAGGCTTTTTGATTGCGTGTCCGGCTTGTCCGGCTTTTGTTAGGCTTTATATTTGGCTGCCGCGCCAGGCGAAAGTCGAGCCACAGGAAATATGAAGCGCACGCGCACGCATCACGTTGGGCAACCGATGATGATAGTACTCATTGCACTCGTTGCACCTCCCCCCCCCATGTCCAGCCAAATGAAGCACAGAGTCCGGCCAGGATGATACTATGAGTTATGACTAACTTATTACGCTAATCACGTACCCAGCTTCGCCTTCATATCTTGCTTGTCCAGCTGGGCCTTCCTGCCGGGCCTGCGCCCGCGCTTGCCCCCCTCGCGCCGTTCCCCACCCTCCCCCGACGTCCCCACAGACCCGAACACCCCGCCGCCGAGGGACTCCTGGGAAAGAAGACTACCTTCAAAAATGTGCACATGAGAAAAGATCAAAAACATAGTTCATGAATAATTTTTCCAAGACTAGAACCATATGACTCGCACGCACTGTCAAAAACTTAAAAAATTAGTCGCATCAGCATCGGCAGATCTTATGGTAGAGTTCAAGCTATTTTAACTCTACACGCACTGGCTAGCTCTACAAGACCTAACACAAACTACACCTTACTCAAATTACGGCGTAGCCTATTTTACGTTCCTTCAATTTGTATTTTAGCGACAGAGACGTTATTCTGGATGTGCTATTCTGTCATCAGACGGTAGATCTGTTCAGTTTTCGACGATCATCCATCTATCTTCACAAAGTTTCACGTCTATTATAGGCAGGTAGGAGTCAAAAGGACCGCGGCTAGGTATAACCAAGAAGATTGAAAATAATCCGCCTTAAAAAGTATTAATGAATTTATCAAGATTGTACTGCCCAAGAAAATTGCATGTGATTTATTTACATTTATCACGTCCATACATTGTCATAGGCCATACCAACGAAAAACGTTAACTTACTAGTAAAACACCTAGTGATTTAGCGCCGCCTCAGCTCAGGCGAGATAAATACGTCAACGGGCCGAAGTTCATTCACACTGCAACCTCGTTGGGATCGCATACTATTACCAACTCGCTTCCAAGTGCATCTGCATGCTGAGACAAAAACGACCCTGATTCAAAGAGGTAGAGCGCATAATGCATTGCAGTTTGCTTCCAAATGCATCTGCATGCTGAGACAAAAACTATCCTGAGACAAAGAGGCAGAGTCCATAATCAATTGTAAAGGAAAACTTCGAGCATGATTATTGATGAGTCCTACCCCGCTCATGATGTCATTCATAAATAGGCTTTTCATGTTTGCTGATGCTGGTGAAAACGGTATAGTGAAAGCAAAATGTGCTTTAAATGAAGTGCTGTAAAGTTCTTTTACCTATGATACTCTTATTTCAAAATTAGGCTTTATAATCAAGCTAAAAGTCAACCGGCGCACACGCAAGTAAGGACTGAAAGTACATACTTATTGAGAACTTCCCGATTTTTTTTACCTTATTTTTTTCTGTTGATCTTCAAAAACAAGTGATCTGTACACAAAATATACAAAAACAATTTATAAGTTCGACTTAAGCAAACAAGGTAATCTGTTTGTCCTCAAAATGTACAAACAAGTAACGATTGTAAGTTATTTTAAAGGCATTTCGTCAGTCACAAAAATAACAGGTTAATTTTCTTTTACTGTTATTTACCTGACTCTGATACCTCATGTGATTCATATGATGCGGGACAAAATATAGGGCTGGTGCTAAAAAGAAGTAATGGAAGAAACTCGGTCATCGTTGTCAGTAAAGTCACAGAATAATAAATAATATGCAGTGTAAAGTTAACAATCTAATCTTGTATCAGAAGATTTTAAATTTTTGCGTTCCATTTCAACTAAAATAGAAAGACACGGGTCTTAACGCGATATTTATGAATGAGTTAGGTACATTATGTACTCTACTTACTAAATATAGGTAATTTGTAAATACAAATACACAATAGTCCCGTTAACCCCTCGTGGCAAGCTAAATTTGCTTGTGTTACGACGAGTGGGTTCACCACAATTTAACAGTTCAGCGGCGCGGTGGAGTTAGAACCCGTATAGCAGCGTCAAATCGTCAAAAAAGTTGACAACACAACACAACCTTATTCCAATAGTAACAAAGACGTATTGCGAACTAATTAACTACTTTGGTCGTCACAAACTATTTGACGCTGACTGTACACCGCGGGCAATTATCCAAACTACGCCATAACAATACGAAAGCCAGGTAAAACTGAACGCGCAATTAATGAGTCGCTCGAAAGGCAACGTAAAGAGTGGGCGGGCCACAGTGCAGTAGAAAGACAGTAACACAACTTGTCCTAACTTTTCCAATTGATAAATGATGTATTTACATTGGGAAAAGTAGTACATTTATTTGTAGGAGTAACCTGTGATTTAAAATATTGCAATAATTGTCCAATTTTTTAAAAAGAAGTTTAGATATTTCTGATGATTCCGGTGGACTATTATCCCGGTCCTCCGTTTTTACTTCAGGAAATGCTTTGCGCATACTTGTTGGCCGATGGGGACGACCAGGGTTATGTGGGACACTCTTGGGACCAACAACACGCTAAAACCCGACGGTGTCCACCGAAGCCCAATGAAACGGAGCCGCGAGTTACGCCCGTATTCACAAACGATGCTTGCTTAAGTGAAGCAGAAAATCGAACGCACAGCGTTGAATAGAGCTCTGTGATTGATTTTTGTGTCATACAGTGCGTGCACGTGCACTGTAATGTATAAGCCCTAACAGTAACCGTGCAGTAACGTTTGTGATTAATGCCATTATTGTACTAAGTCGCACTTTACTATCAGGAGTTAAAAAAACCTTCATTAATCTATATTTCTATACGAATATTATAAATGCGAAAGTAACTCTGTCTGACTGTCTTGCTTTCACACCTAAACCACAGAACCGATTTTGATGAAATTGGGCATAGAGATGTGGTTTGAGTCCCGGGAAAGGACATAGGATAGTTTTTATCCCAGTTTTTGAAACAGGGAAGCGTACACATTTTTGTTGCAAAATAACACTTAATAAAACTGAATAAAATGCTGTAGTAAAGCTTGACGTGCTATCGATACAAAAAAAATACCTTTTGCGTCGCCACTTTTATTTCTTGCGATATCGGAAACATTGTGAACTTAGTAAAGTTACAGATAGCCTTTCCTTTTGTTTATTACTGTAATATTATTGCTATTATAATTTAATTAATTACTATCATATCAATAACGACTTGTTTTTGTGTTTCTATTTCCCGATATTTATCTATAAATAAAACTACATCCGTTCTCTTTATAAAACAAGACTAAATATTGAGATTTTATTTACAAACAAATTAAATTATCAACATTACACATTAATAACAACATTATAATATTAACAACAATATTATCCAAATTTTATAATAGAAAAAAAACAAAAGCAACAACTAAGTATTCCAAAGTTTTCACAGTATCCAAAAAACAATAAACTAAAAAACTCATTTACTTTTGCAAATAGACTTATAAAAATCACTTTTACACGTCCCAGTATTAACCCTACCACTGCTTCGGGACAATAAATGGGCCAGTGCTGAGAAAAACCAAAACACCTACGTTCTATTATGTGAGATTATAAATCAATTTTCCACTTGGCACAAATAAACCCTGGAGGTTTGAATTACCATTATTATAGAAGAAGAAAAAGCAACTATTCCAAAACGCGTGACGCACGACAAACTGGCTACCCAGTGTCCATTGCCCAATATGTCGATGCAGTTCAATACATCCGGGGTTCTCATAAAGGGGTGGGGGCGGGAATGCAATGCGCAGGTTTCGGCTTTAAGGGGTGGGGGGTGCATATAGGAAATAAGGTGGTGCCTTCCCGACAAACGATGTTATCGATAATATTATTAGTTTGTAGTTCTAGAACTATAAAAAGACAATGCATGTCACTTTAAGTAACTTGTTTCGTTATTTTATCACTTGCATAAATTATTTTGTATGAATTCGCAAAATTGGCAATCAAAAGCTTTCACAAAACGCGTACTTAATTAATTTTAACATAACTGAGACGCTGTTTAATTATTGCCTTAAAGTTATAAACGATTTTCACAAGAATATCTACAATGCGTGAATGAGTCATTACGAAGATTTCATATGTATCGTTTGTTATTTTTTCAGATCTAATCTATCTCTAACTCAATTAATTAAAACTGGTTAAACAATTTAGTAGTGATCCCATAACAAACACAAAAATAATATAACTTTCGCATTTACCTTTGCCTTTATACTTGTCAGCTTCTTTTCGCCACGTAAGAATTTTAGAAACTGCAATCCAATCTTAAACACCTCTACCAAATTATTATCACACAACTTCTTAATTTGCATGATAAACCAGAATATGTCACAAGAATACACCGAGATGCGGTACACTATAATGGCCGATATGCCTCTGATTTTATTTAGACTCAGATCAATAAATCATACGGGGTTCTCAGCGCAAGGGTAGGGGGTGGCAACACAGCGCGCAGGTGTTGCCATAATCAGGTATAAAAATATTAACTTCTTTCTCCCATTTTGTGGGTAATTCACATAGTGTTTTGTATGAATTCGCAAAATTAGCAATTAAAACACCGGGCATAAAGCTAGACATCCTCAAAAAATCTTTTACTTAAGAACTACTAACCTACTTTAAGCATAAAAATAAAATGAAAAATGGGGTTATTTATTGCACTCTAGCAAGATTTTTTGCGATAAAATGTAGACTACTATTCTTTTCATCAGTCTAATTTACGCTTTTACCAAAATTTATTAAATCTGATTTAATAGTTTAGTCGAGAAAATGTGACAAACATAAAGAAGTTACTTTCGCATTTATTTACCTTTATCTTGATAGCCGGTTCTTTTCTGCAATCCAAGAGTTTGAGAAATTTCAACCCACTCAGAAGAAGTTCTACCAAAATAATTTCACGAAAATTCTTCATAACGTAACATGCAAAATAATGTCCAAGTCCATGTCACATCACTACCCCGAGATGCGCTACACTAAAATGGCTCCCGATATCAAATGGCTTTATTTAGACTATCAGATCAATAAATCATACGGGGTTCTCAGCGCAATAGGGGTGGGTGGTATCTTTATTGCGCAGGTGGGTATGAGGTACCTACCCCATTTTTATGTTAATTTAACTACCAATATTAAAATTGTTCAGATCTTTTTGGGTCAAATCGCAAAATAAGCAGACAAAAACTTTATTCAGACTGTTTACAGAAAATTGGTTTTACTGATAAAATACATACGAGTCACATAAGACTCATGGGACAGAAAAGCCATTAATTATGGCCCATTTATTGTCCCAAAGCAGTTAATATTAGGACGTGTAAAAGTGCTTTT